TTTCACTTATTTCACACAACAGATCACTTTTGCCCTCGTTCAGCCAGAATCCTCCAGCGTTGGAGGGTTCAACACAGAAAGGTTCCCCTGCAGGAAGAACTCTCTGGGAGTTTATCAGGGAGCCTCCAGAATGTCTCGCTTCCCTTGTGCAGAGGTTCACTACCTTGCCACTTGAATTTTGAACATGTTCAAAAAGATTTAGGAAGCAGATTTTCTTTCAAAATAGTCCCAAAGCATTTGCAGGTGTCTTAAACCCTTCTTAGTCCAGTTTTGTAAATTCTAGAGCTGCACTTTGACTCTTCCTTATGACAGAAAACATCTGAGGTTACAGCTCAGATTGACCTGAAAACCATGACATTTATAAATAAATTACTAAAAAACTGGTCCAAATTTATTTAACTTCATTTCAAAGTGGTAGATTAACTCAGGAAGGTGGTTTCTCACTGGGCTGTGACTGATGGCAACTAAAACTCAAAATTGTGAGAAAATTTGTCTTTGAATTGTGATGTTTGCATCTAGGCAGTCTTGCAGCTTCGTGTTTTGCCGAAAATCACTGCTTTTTTATGTGCACGGCTGGTGCAGGTGACAAAATACACCCGCTGGATCCCCTGAGACAAGTTGCTGCTCACCAGCTGATCTTCAAGGATCTTAAACGTGAAGGGAAGCAGCCAAGGCGGGCTACCAAATATTGTGCACTTCCTAGAATAGGGTTTTTTGGGGCGTGCACACAAAAAGTCTGATTTTCAAAGATTGAAACGTGGCTCGCTGGTCACAAACGCTCAGAATTAGGATTTCCCAGCAATCTTAGCCCAATGAGCCTTAACTAGTGTCTCAGTTCAGAAGTACCTAACAATGTGAGTTTTGTAGATAAAGCCAGTGTCTCACCATGCCGTGACTGTTGGAGATTCAGAATTGCACAAAAAGAGGAAAATTTTGTCTCGATGTCGATATAAAACACGAGAATACAGACGGCACGAGGAGCTCAAATTAAACTTAAAGGTTTCATTAAAAGGTATAAAACTAAACCAAGAACTTACCGGTTCTTTGGATCAGACACAAAAAGACACAAGGGCAAAAAGCAGAAAACAATGACAGAACGATGATGAATGGAGACTGACAGAATCTAAAGTCTGGGAGAGTAATGGGACAGGGAACAGGTGTGAGTAGGCGGGGCTAGCTGACAGTGTGAGTAGGCGGGGCTAGCTGACAGTGGAAAAATACTGACAGACTGAAGAAGAAATGGAACACAACACAAGGAGCAGAACCAAACAAGAATCACAAAACCAGGAAAATAAACACGATGACCAAAAGATTTAAACAATAACAAAGACGAGGAGAACTGCTGAAACAGAACCAAAAGTTCAAACCCTGACAGATATTATGATGCCGTCACTAAAATGTATTTGTGACCAAGTCTGTTTCCTCTTCATTTGATTTAATTTTGTACGTGACCAACAAGCAGCGAGGTTGCATTTTGCACAGCTAATTTCTGGACATGGTCTGTGTGCACAGATCACAAAACTGCCAAGTCTGAATTCCAGAGCAGAAATCATTGAGACTGCAGCTGAAAATCTGCTCGTTTCCTCACGTTTGAGTCTCCAGCAGTCGCAGCCCAGACACCGCCTTCTTAAAGTGTTGTGGTAAAAGTACAATTTTTACAAAGTATTTCACCAAGCTGGGACTTCTGAGAACACATGGCTTTTTATCTCTGGTCAATAAAATCTGAAACTCTATTTCTGCCAACATCTCACTCATTACTTTAGAAATGTTCAAAAAGATCAAAGCAAATCTAAACTCCAGCTTTAATTTTAGTCGCACCAGCAGCTAAAGTCCTTAACGACGTCACATTTAGGAGAAAATCTGCAGAAATTCGAGGCTCGTGACAACTTTTTAAAATTGTTCTGGATAAAATGGTTCTGACATTGTAACAGCAACATTCCCCCAGCAGCCGTAGCCGAAGGTTTCGGCCTCGCTGTGGGCTCCATCTCTGCCCCGCTTCATCACTAATGAACCATTTGTAGTTTTCGTCCAGCTCAGGGTGAGAGTCAGGGCTTTTAGAGTCCCAGGCGAACATTATCCTTCAGAAGTGCATCGGCCTGGCGTGCGTTCCAACTCACAGCTACGTTTCCTACATTCCTACGGTCGTCCGTGCAGTTTCCTCCCACTTCTCTACAGTATTGCACATTTTTAACTTATCTGTCATCCTGTTTCAAACAAAACGGCGCTGTCGCCTGCAACCAGTGCTGAGCACTTACAATCAAATGGTATAAATATTTTTTAAATCCTATTAATATACATTTCATAAAGCAAGTGTTCTACAACAAATGAAATTCTTCACACTTATTAAAACAAAATTCCAAAGAATAAACTTTTTTTAGGACTGGCTCCAGGACATTTATGCATATTTGCTTTAGTTTTTGTGAAAGTGTAAATATGCTGGTTTTATGAAGTTCATGTTGCAGTCAGAAGTTTCCATCTGCTCATATTATTTTTGGACTTTTAATTATTTTACATCATCAATGGTTTTTTAAAAACAAGAATCTGGTGCAGAAGTTTGAATTTATTGAGGACGTTCTCTGATTCAAAAACATAAAAACGTTGATGTGAATCCTTTAATATTTACTGCTGAAGGTTCCTGAAAGCTTCAGCAGTGAAGTCTTCATGTTAGTGAACATGATCAACTGCAGCTGGTACTTTTTCTTAAACAGCATAAAACGGATCTGGAGCAGCACGGTGGAACACAGTTGGTAGAGCTGCCACCTCTCAGTGAGAAGGTCGCCGGTTCAAATCCCAGCTGAGGACCTTTCTGGGTGGAGTTTGCATGTTATGTCCGTGCATGTGCAGGTTTTCTCCGGGTACTCTGGTTTCCTCCTACCGATGAAAAATATGCATGCTAGGCTGATTGGTAACTCTAAATTGCCCCTAGGTGTGAGTAAGAGGGTGAATGAATGGTTGTTTGTCTCTATGTGGCCATGTGATGGACTGGAGACATGTCCAGGATGTCCCCCGCCTCTCGCACAGTGACTGCTGGACATGGGCATCAGTGACCCCCATGACCCGAAAAGGAAGAAGCAGGTAAATATAATGGATGGATGGAAAATGGATCTGTTTGACAACACTCGGAGCTACAGGAAGATCCAAGAAAGTCGGGAATATTTAAGAAGAACTTCAGATCTATCCAAGTTGGGAAAGTCATTTGGAGCCACATCTAAACGGTTCCAGACTCCGGGCTCTTCAGGTCAACACAAGTTCTTCTGGTGTGTCCCATGTGCCAAGGTCTAAACAAAGACCTGATCTGTCCCAGCTCAGATGAAAGAAAGTTGTTTCAGGAACAACCCAGGAACCACCAAGACTCAAGCCTGTCAAGAACTGGAACCTGGTAGAACACCAGAGTTCCTATCCACCAGTGAGGCCAGTTCCACATCCCAGTGGAATGAAAGGACCAAGAATGAAGCTCCAAAACCTTCAGCTGTCCACAGGGACAAGACAAAAGTCTTCGGGAGGAAAGTATGTTGGTCAGATGAGCTTTTTGGACACAGTGAGAAGAAGGATGTTCGGAGGAGTTCAAGTGAGGCTTTCAGGCTGGAGAAGGGGGTCCCAACTGTCAGGTATGGTGGTGGCAGCATCATGCTGTAGTAATAAAGAAGAAGTACTACCTCCAAATTCTTCAGCTTCACCTCAAACCAACAGCTGGACGGGTGAAACCTGGACAAAGGACAGTGGTCCCAAACACCAGAGCTGGTTCCTGACTGGATAAATCAGGCTTCAGGAGTTCCCTTCCCAAAGTCCCAGACTCAACCTGATTAAAAATTTGTGGACTGCGGTTGAAAGTCGGGTCTGAAACAAGGAAACATCTCATTTAAATGAACTTCAACAATTCTGCCAAGAAGAAGAGCCACTGAATAACATTCTACCAGAAGCTTGATGATGGTGACAAAAAGGTCCAGGTGACACCGGCTGATGGAGATTTACCTAAATATTAGTGGGAGTGTATAACTTGTTTTTAAAAAAAAACACTGAAGCTGATGCCGTATAATGCTTCCACCCTGGAAAAAAACAATTCAGATAAACGGGCACCACGGTAGTTTAGCAGTTAGCACTGTTGCCTCAGTGCAAGAAGGTCCTAGGTTCAAGCCCTATTGGGCCTGGACCGCATGCTTAAGGTGCCTTCAGGCCTCCCTTACAAAGGAGCTCTGTGGTGCCTAACGGTTAATAAAAACCCAACGTGCTCATAATGATGGAAACTTCTGACTGCAGCTGTACGTTCTGTTTCCTCTCGGAAATGTCTCAAGAAGGAATTCTCCTCTAAACACCTCTGCCACTGAGGCTCGGTTTATTTTACACAAGCAGGTTTAGTGCAACAGAGCATCGGCAAAAGAAAAAAGTGACCCGTTGTCGTTATTCCACCCAACTCTAGTGACTGGAGAGTGTGCAAAAATGCAGCAGCATTTGTGTTTTTGTCAAATGAGAAGTAAAGATTTCTCTGTTTTCTTTGAAACAGCACATTTAAAGAGACGGAAGAGAAATCACCTTTGGCAGATCTGAGCAAAAACACATTTAACGGGCGTTTAGGTGGTTTAAAAACCTTATAGTGATACATGTCAAAAACCAGTCGAACGGCACACTTTGCATCTTGTGCAACAGACGTATGAAGTGTCTGAGGAGCCTTACAGAAACTCACCTACAAACTGTCCTCCAGGAAAGAGGCTTTCTAAGAGGAACTTGCTGCTGTTCACTTTAAAGTCTAAAACACTCAAAATGTTATTTTTTATCTGATCTGTATTCAGTTCTTTATAGGAAGAAAAACTCACGTCTACAAGCAAGAGACTAAAGTGCAGAAGCCCAGAACACAGTCTGCATTCAGCTGGCTTTATGTGGGAACAGTTAGGCCATAGCAAACTTTTTCAGTGAATGTCAACAACAAATCCATGGCAGCCAGCTCACCAGGAAATATACGAGCCGATTCAGAGAAAACAGCTTGTGCAAGCCCGTTTGTGTTGCAGGATAGAGAGTGGAAAAGAAACAGGCTGGCGTGGCCTTGGGATCAGACTCATGTGGGGTGGAATAATGAGAGGAGCAGCAGTTCCTGCAGCCTGAGGAGACAAACGACAAGAGATGACAGAGGGAGCCTTTAGGCTCGTAACTCATGGAGAATTAACTAGCACTGCAGGTTAAAACCCAGCCCATGACATTGTCTCAGAAGGGATCAGTGAAAACACAGCAGGTCAGATTAAAGAGCAAATAAATTCAATTTTAAGGACAAGTTGTTACTTTTACGGTTGTTTTTTTCTCTTTCGTCTGAATAAATTCTCTGCTTATTTTACGTTAACTGTTTTTATATCTCAGTTCTGATATTTGCCTTTATGCCGATGATGCAGCGATATTTTTCTGTTTCTGCACGCTTGTTTAGAATGAGTTTATAGTCATTTTGGTCACATTTAATCCTGAAATAAAATGTAGCTTGCCTTCAGTACTGGTCCATACTGCCTTCACTGATCCACATAAGAGCCTCCTTCAGTTTACGTGCTAAAAGAGTCAATCTTACTTTTCACTTCAAAAAAGGACCGTCCACACGTCAGAGTCACTGTTCCTCACAGCCTGCAGCAGGAAAAGCTTCTGCTTCCTGGTTCTGGAACATGTACTGTAAAAATAAATAAATGCATTACTTGAACCCAGATCCTCTACACAGTGATCATGCATTACAAGCTAATGCTATGAGATACTCACTTCCTGTCTCCTAAGAAGGCGTGACAGAAGTCTTGAATTTCTTAACTGTATCATGTAAAATATTAAGGTTTGTCAAGGTTTTTCGAGATTGGACCCAGGAATGCAGAACTCCAATAAAACGCTGAGTTTTTATTGAAGAAATTAAACGAAGGTTGTTGTGGCAGCAAAAAATTGCATTTGTAAAACTGGCACAATGTGATGCTGAAGGCATAAAATGCACAACAATGACATCTGAAGAAAGAGGTGAAGCTGAGGGGCTATAAAATGGGCAGATGAGTAGACTGGCTGCAGCTGTGACTGATGAAAACAGGAAACGGGTGCAGTTAGAAGGGACCGGTGGCACAGAGGAATACACAAAAACTAAACCAGCTAAACACAAAGAACAGAACGAAACTGAAAAAATCATAAAATGTGAAAAAGAGGAAAAGAACTAACAACAAAAACAAAAAGAAGTGCCACAACTTAACCAAAAACCCAGATCTTGACAAGGTTTTATTAACGTTTTGTTGTTGAAACCTGTAGCGAGGCGTGTCCCGTTCATACAAAAACACATCATGGAACTGAAAAACCTGTGGTGTTAACCCAACAAAGTTAAGTTAGGTCCTCTGGACAGTTTATTTATTTTTTTTGTTGAAACGTTTCGTCTTTCATCCAAAAGACTTCATCAGTCTGAGGAGCCACAACAAATTCAGTCCCACAAGCAGCACACTCACATAATGGGCCAACCAGTTTGCTGGTGATAAGATGGTTTCTGGGGACCACCCTGTCCCCCATCGACTCGTCTGAGGCAGCCATGGCCAAAGTGGTTCAAAACATCAAAGTTCAGAGTCCAGAAGACCTGACTTAACTTAGTTGGATTTTTTTTAAAACTTGGATTATTGAGCATGAACTTTGATCTTTGGAGTTAACCCAATTCAAGATGGACACCACAGCCAATCAGTATAATCCACAAAAATATCTATATTTCTGTAAATTTTACAGATAATGAGTTAAACTTTGGTGCCACTTGGCTCAGGCAAAATATAGAGATTTTCTTTTCAAGGTTGGACCAAAATGGGGTGGCACGGTGGCGCAGTTGGTAGAGCTGCTGCCTCTCAGCGAGCAGGTCGCCCTGGTTCAAATCCCGGCCGGGGGCCTTTCTGGATGGAGTTTGCATGTTCTCTCCGTGCTGTGTGGGTTTTCTCTGGGTATTCCAGTTTTCTCTCACAGACCAAAAACATGCATGTTAGTCTGATTGGTAACTCTAAATTGTCCCTAGGTGTGAGTGAGAGAGTGAATGGTTGTTTGTCTCTATGTGTCCCTGTGATGGACTGGAGACATGTCCAGGGTGTCCCCTGCCTCTCGCACAGTGACTGCTGGATATGATACCAGTGACCCCTGCAACCCGAAAAGGAAGAAGCAGGTAAAGATAATAGATGGATGGATGGACCAAAATGGCTTCAACTTCCTCATTTACCGTATTTTTCAGACTAAAAGACGCACGTAAAATCCTTTAATTTTCACAAAAATTGACAGTGAGCATTATAATCCAGTGTGCTTTATGTATTAATTCTGGTTGTGCTTACTGACCTCAAACCGATTGTATGTGGTTGTTGTGAATGAGTGGAATAAAGTGTTTCACTTAATGCACCTTATAATCCAAAAAAATACGGTATTAACATGCAACAGTCTTATTTGAAATCTTTAGCATTAGGAGTTGCCTGCATCTGTGCTTTTAGTTTATTTTGCCAGTTTTGAGTTTATTGCTGGTTTTACTTTCCAGTGTTGCAGATTGTTTTGGGCATTTTGTTCTTTGTTCAGTTCCACCCGTCTACACCTGCTGTCAGTCTCGCCTGTCACAGCTGCAGCCACTTCCCTCATCAGCTCTGATCCACCCATCCAGTCTTCGGTGGAGCATTGTGTGTGTTCTCGCTCCACGCTCGGTCTCATCTGGGCCTCCTCGTGAGTTTTTCTGCTGCTGCCATGTCAGCTTTGGTTTAGTTAAAGTTTTATTAAATTTGGAGCTCCTCTGCAGTCTTGGGTCCAAACTTCACACAGCCATGACAAAGGCAGTAGGACACATGCACGCCCTCAGGAAATTCTAAGCTTTTCATTTAAATTACGCAATTATCCACTACTGCTCTTCATCAATTCTTTCATTTTTAGGTTCAGATAAAAAATAAGATATGCAAAAGTTAAGATGAGCCCGAGTTTGATGGCTGCAGACAGTTTGTTGCTACAGTAATGAAGTGTTGAGACAGCTTTCTGGGTTTGTTTTTGCTCTTCCTCAGCTGTTTATTCATGCCTGCTTCTCTGTTTGCTGAGCTCAAAGAGACCTTCAGGTTCCTCCCCTGATGAAGAACCGGCACGTCTCGGCGCAGAATAATTTACCCCAACATGAGGCCAACAGGAAGGACTGAGCAGACAAGCCTTGTATGCTCCCTAATTACCGTTGACTGTCAGCGGCACAAACAGAAGCAGAGAAATCAGCTCAAATTCAGACGAGACGTTTCTCTGAGCGTCGCAGAGACTCAAATTTTCAAGAGCCTTTGAAGTGATGTGCATCCTCTCAGAGGCTTCTACTTTCTGTGGGATGATTTTGGTATAAAAACATTAAATATTGCACTACAGCTGGAATGCTCAATCTGATATTTACTTTCCTTCAAGATGCTGTTTGCACATTTTCCTTTAAAATTCAATTTTCTCTCTTCTTGGTCTGAAGCATTCCAGCTACAGAAACAGTTTCTCTTCGAGGCTTAAGGCTCGTTGGTTTGGTGATAAAACTGAAGCAGCTTGTCATCACATCATCATTCTGAGATTTTGCTTTTGGAAACTTTAATTCCCGTTTTCCTGGATGTATATCACTTTTTCTGGATGATTCTTTCCTCTGGTATCAGATGCTGCACAACTGGAAGAATTTTTACTACTTGATACCTTTTTATTTTTGTACATTTGTTATGATACGTAACCATAGCAACAAGGTGTTTTGTTTATAACCGAGAGCAGCTGATTAACATCTCAAAAGCTCAAATAATATTTCAGCTAAAGTGCCAAATCTCAAATGAGTTGAAAAGGAGGTTCCATGGATGCATTCCCATCTATCTGCCAGCTGTGCTCGAGTGCCTGACCACTGAGATCCTAAGATCTCCTAAGGAGATCCTGGAACTAGCAGGAAACATGGCTCGTGACAGCAGAAGGACCAGGATCGTCCCCCGGTAGCAACGAGGAGTTCGGCGGACTGCTGGGAGGAGTGGCCATCATTCTGGGAGGAGTTCTGGCCAGCATTCGGGCGGTTCTGCAGCCCGGGGGAACTGAGAGGCCAGCCGAGTCCGGGTGGATAGATCGAATGGCATCTGCGGCCAATTTCTTTGGATTCCTTGTGGGACAGACTTTTACAAGAGATCCTTCCTGCTTACAGCCATCAGCATCTATAACAACTCTAATGAAACAAGGATAATGATTTACAACATTTAATTTCTCTTTGGGATTAACAAAGTATTGTTGAATTGAATTGAATTGAATCACGTTATACAGATTCACCCTCCTGCCCTCTGGGAGGCGCTACAGGAGCCTCCGGACTAAAACCACCAGGTACCGGAACAGCTTCTTCCCCACAGCTGTCAAACTCCTTAACTCTGCCTCCTGACATCTGAATAACAACAACGGTCTGTGTTCTCATACACACAACAACAGCACATGGACTGTAACACCAACACCTGCACTTTCATCCGTTAGCCCACTACTGTACAAACTGTACACATAAGCTACTATCTACTGTTCATAAGTACTCACATACTTATATATATATTTTTTTTCTTTTATATAGCTGTTTATACCCCTTCATATTATAACCTGTTCATAGTCTGTACACTCACAACCTGTATATATTTATACCTATAGCATATTCAAAGCAACTTACTGTATATTGTACTATATATATATCTACCAATTTATTTTTCTTGCTAAGCACTTCTGGATAGATGCAAACTGCATTTCGTTGCTTTGTACCTGTGACATGTGCAATGACAATAAAGTTGAATTCTATTCTATTCTATTCTATTCTATTCTATTCTATTCTATTCTATTCTATTCTATTCTATTCTATTCTATTCTATTCTATTCTATTCTATTCTATTAGTCCAGCAGGTTGACAGTCAGAATCAACTTTACTGGGATTATGGGTATTTTTCATGATCTGGTTCCATCTCTGGTCAAAGATCGCGCACCCTTCCTCCCCTTCAGCAGAGAAAAGTATTTCCGTGTAATTCAGTCCATTTATCGTACCGGCTGCAGAGCGTAAGTGAGCTTTTCACAGCTGCAGGAGTAAATCTTCAGCTCTGCAGAGTTTTAGGTCTGAAGCTACCAGCAGCATCTTGTCTGTTCAGTCTGAGCGGGCCTGAATACCGGACTGCAGAAACGATATTGATTCCTTTGCAATCGTGAGCTTTTAGTGCTCGTCTCTGAGGCTGGAAATGAAAGCAGGTTTTCAGTTTGCACTGCTGGATGAGGACTGAAAGAACCGTACCGATCCTCCTCCTCTCTGCTGCTGTGATGTTCCCATTGCTTCAATTGAATTTGGTGATTTAAATGTTTTTATTTTGTCGACTTTCACACCATCATGATAGGTTAGTGTTATTATAGGCTGTCCAGCTTCACTCGTTGGTCATTTTATCTCCATGCCTTCAGCTAACATACAACTGTATTTTTAAGTAGGTTTACATTACCATATTTTTGGCCTATAAATCATAGTTTTTTGCATAATTTACATGCCCTGCGACTTATACATCCAAGCAACGTATTTATGTTTTTCCCAATATTTATAAACCAATTTTTGGCTGAGATATGACCATTATTACATATTATTATTATATTATATACATTCATTCTGACAGAAAATATTGAACACTACCATTTTAAGCTGCTAGATGGCACTCAAGCAGTATGGCATGCCGTTGTGTCATGTAGTAGGTAAAAGTGTCTATTAATGATGCAATCGGCTTGCCAAATATGCCACCTTAGTCCAGCTCGCCTGGAGCAACCATCAAATCAGCTTCATTTCGCTGCTCCGCCCCAACAAAATGCAGCTAATTTGACCATTGAAGTGTATTTATTAAGTAAAAGTTCAACTGAGACATACCTTTACTATAATGTTGAGCAAACAAATAATTGTTTTAGGTGCTTATCTTGTTAAATTTTGAAAAAATGCGCTGTTCTTCCTTTCTAATGAATCCTCCATCAGAGCGCGCTCCCTGGAGCACCGAAGCAGCAAATGCTTTTAAAAATGCAGCTGATTTGATCGTCAAAGTGCATTTATAAGGAAAAGTTAGACTGAGACACACCTTTACTATAGTTTTGAGCAAACAAATAATTGTTTTAAGTGATAATCTTGTTAAATTCTTGTTAAAGTCCTCCTCGTGCACACTCCCGCAGCCACCATTTGGCAGCCAATTGATTTTTGACAAAACACCGGCCCACATTTCCGGGTTGTCAGAGGTGACGTATAATAGATGCAACATATAATAGATGCAACATATAATAGATGCAAC